GGAGAAAGGCAGCAAATCTTATACTTTTTGCAGAAGTACTTAAGTAGACAGTGTTTTCTACAAAAAAAAAAAAAAAGGCATCCTAAATAGCTGAAATACCTGAAATGTTTCAACTTCTCTTTTTGAGATTAAGCATCTTAAACATCACTGAGCACTGTAATTCATTTTTATATTTTATTGCTTCAAATGCTTCAAACTATGGGAAATCTTTGGTAAAAATAAACACAATAAAATTCTCACAATAACTTCATACACAGCATTGCACAACAAGTTCTTCAACACACATGAACTAATGCAGGAATGTTCAGAATCCTCAGTGAGGAAATTAACTGTACAATACTCATAGTTCTTCATTTTAAAACAAAATTGGTGTTCATAAATATTTAAAATATTTCCTAGGTTCTTACCACATATTAACATTTGTATTTCAATCAGTATGTTGAACTTTAAAGTATTTATATTATTTAAATAAAAACCAATAAACAGAAGGTTTTGTTTTTCCTGTTGCCCACTACAGCATCAAGTTTCCCTCTCCTCTACTTTTGCCTGTTTCACACAAAACTGGGTGGGGTGGGGGAAGAAATTAAAACAAAAATTGGTTTCTCAGTCAGCCCTCTGTGGAAAAGAGGAAAAATGTTTCATGTCTATTATTACACAGACATTTCTCTGGTGGTTGATTTGTGCAGTCTCACACTTGGCCAGCTTTGAGTTGATCTATGTGAGTTCTCAGCTCAGGACACAGCTCAATTAGCAGCAGCTCCATTAGCACCTGTGCCAAGAAAGGAGACCAAGGAAAGAGAAGGGTGTGATCCCAGGGCTTACTAAAAGCAAACCTCTTATGATTAAAAGTTGAGTATTAGTTCTGAAATTATTCTCATAAATAAGTTATTCTCAAATGAAAATAATTGCTACTATGTGAACTCATCAAACTATCAACAATATTTAATAGTGGTGACTCTAATCAGAAATCTGACTGGGAAACAGTACTTTGCTGAAGTAAGAAAACTAAGCAGTCATGCAGAAATGCTGATCAGATGTCAAGAGAGACAACTAGCAAGTGAGAACGAAAATGCTGCCTCCACTGCAGGTACTTTTGTTCTTTTTTAACCAAGTACACAAAAGTGAAGCACAGAAAATAAGTTCAGAATTATATTAAGAGTAATTAAGTATATAAAGGATTAAAATTTACTCTAATCTGTGAATAAAAATATAAAATTCCAGAAATAGTTAAGTCTCTGGGAGGTTTTAATTGACTCACATATAACAGATGCTTGTTGGCTCTTGTTTCTTGCAGTGCCTTGAATATTTTTATTATACCATGGCGGGCATTTTGCTGTCCAACAAGGCTCTGAAGTGTATCTGAAAAATTAAGATTTTTGTGTTTGCTTTCTTCCACTGCTGAGGATTGAACCCAGAGTATTGGCAAGTACTCTATCACTTAGCCATATACCCAGCCCTGAAAAAGTTAATGATTTTATTCTAAGTTGCTACTGATAAAGTACACAATGTGTATTTGGGGAAAGATATTACATGACACATACATAGTAAAGAAAGGAACTGAGGCATAAAAACTGTAAGTGATCAGTTCTTTCAAGTGTTTAAGAAGAAAAGTTTATTTAAAAATTTTCAGCATAATATTTTATACAAACCTCAATTTTAGTATATCATTAGTACTGGTTTTAAAAATTAAAACCATTATTTTTTCACATATTTCTAAAGTTTTACATTTCTCGGTATAACTTCTTAGTAAGTGGTAAGAAGTAGCTTTAATGAAAGCTGTGATTTTTAAAACTGTAGTTCTGCAAATGGAAACCATCGCTTCTGATCTCTGTATGTTCAGGCTAAGAAGCCAGGCCTTACCTGGAATGTTCTCAAGTAGCTTTTGCTGTGCTTTCTGCTTTGTTTCCTGACTTTGTGCTGCACTTCTGATTTTGTTCGGTGGTGCCAATTTCCCATTTGGCCAAAAAGCATCCCGGAAAACACTGATGTAGTAAACCAACATTTGCTCGCTGAAAATCCAGCTCACTGTGTCCCGGATTTGTCTTTTAAGAGAATTAAAAAAAAATGTTTGGATGGGGTTTTTCCTCCCAGGTATACTTTATTCTCAAAAGGCATTCATCAATGAGTAGATTAAGATATAGCCTGATCTAAGTGTGTGATGAATAAACTAGAAATTGAACTTTAAAACCCTGGCTATGAAAGTTACTTTTTATTTTAGTAATACAGAATGACCACTCATTCCTGAGGCTCACATTTTCATTAGCACCAGCCTCTCTAAATGTTTGCCCTGCAGTACCTGCAAATGTGCACAGATTAGAACTGAGAGACTGTTTGTTAGAAGCTTGAAACTACAGATTTGTCCACGAAGCATGCTAGGTAGAATACTGACCCACAGGAAGCCAATTTCAAATGTCCATGGGAATGAAATCTCCAGATACTTGACTTGCACAGTTATGCATAAATGGCTTTTATTTGGCAACCCCGGTCTTCCACAAAATCCATTTCCTTAGTCAAATTTTAAACAGTTCCACTATGAACAAGTAAACACAGTTCAATGAACTCAGAAGGGCTCTCTGTCTCCTTCTTTCTTTTTGGTGGGACTAGGGTTTGAACTCAGGGCTTTGTGCTTGCAAAACAGGTGCTCTACTGCTGGAGCCACACCTTTGGTTCAATTTGCTCTGGTTAGTTTGAGATGGGGTCTCGCAAATTGTTTGCCTGGGCTGGGCTTGAATGTTGATCCTCCTCATTTCAGCCTCCCAAGTAACCAGGATTACAAGCATGAGGAGGGCTCTATTTTTCAGGTTGGGAGGAAACAAAGTCTCTCTGTTGAAAGGGGAAAAGAATCATTGAGACTATGAGTCCCAGAAATACCCAAAACTTCAAAATTAATTCATGAAAAATAATACCTCAAAAAGCTCTTTAAGAATCTGACCTCCAAATCAAATTTTTAAAAGGATAATATAAGGGTTTCAGAAATAGTATCTGAAATAGATGTTTCAAGCCTAGAATTTTGCACATAGTAATCAGTTACTTTTGGATATTTAAACTCAACTGAGTCAAATTATAATGTTAATTGTTTGTAATAGCAAATCTCCTAAAATACTTCCTTATGTTGCTTAGAACAGTGCGATTCAACTCTAGACCAAATAAACTAATTTTTATTAATTTAATGGACTTTTTTTAAAATTATAAATGAATTTTTTACATTACTGTCTGTGGCTGCTTTTACTATAATGGCAGAGTTGATAGTTGTGACAGAAACTGTCTAGCCTGAGCAAGGGACTTCTGCTTTAAGACAGCTGCTGCTGACTTGCCTGCCTACATTTCCAAGAAAAATCTCTATCATGCCACCATCATGGTTTTCTCTCTGTAGTGTTGCTTTGGATTAATCACTGGCACTCCATGAAGAAATGAAGAAAGAACATTTCAATTTATGACTTAAAATTAGAGTAATTCTTACCAAAGGTCATCACCTAGTTATTTCTATCAGCCAAAACCTGTAGCTTCTGAAGCAAGTCTTGTACATGAGATTATAGTTGCTACAAGACAATAGGGTCTATGCTGTATTACCCTAAATTTTATGGTATGTCCTCATCTGCTAAAGGCAAAAATAGCAAAGCACCAGGTTCTCCATAATTCTCTACCTGATAGGCCCACTGAAATGAACAGTTTGAAAGTTTTCTACAAGACGCATCTCCTCCATCACCAGGAAAATAAGTGCAAAAGTATTCATCACTCACAAACCACAGCTGGTCATTTTATAATTAAAAGCCAATATAAAAAGGACATGGAATGTATACAGGACTTGCTGAAACTGATAAGGAAAACAAATGAGTAAATCTCAAGTACTGAGGAAAATAGGCCATTTTAGAAATTTCCTTATGTAAGGTTTATCAACACTCAAGAGGTACCTAAGATGGAAACAAGAATTTAAACAGACCATTTTTCTGATTAAAATAAATGCCTATGATACTAAGTCAACTTAAACAAGTCTTTGATGGACAACTAGGACTAGAGAGTTTTTTAAATCTTAGAAATGTAATAGTGATTTATGACCATAAGGAAAACACATTCTATTTGCAAATCAATATAAAAGAGTAGCAGAGTTTCTTTATAATATTTTTCTATAAAAATTTATAGGTTGTATGTAATAAAACTATCATATTACTCTTGTACAAAAGTTTTACAGTAAATTAATCTTTTGCTTGCAAAAGACACTGATAACATCAGCTCTAAATTCCAGACCTAGAGATAATATGAGACATGCCTGAGTAAGCAGGCACTGGCCAAGAGGCCAGGCTGTGTCTGCTAACCATGGTGACCTCAGACAAGTTATGTGATCACTTTGGTTCTATTTCCTCACTGATAAAATAAGTTGAACTAATCTCCAAGACCGCTTGCAGGAACAACCCTAACTAATTGACTGCATGATTTTGTAGTTATGAAAAATTCCAATAATTTCTTAAAAAACAGTATTAATCAACTATGAGTTCTCAATCATGGACCAAGGACATTCATGGATGTGTGGCCAAATTGTGGAACACTTTTTATGAACACTGGAATGCTCTGTGACATATGTGTGTACACATGTGTATAGATAATGTAATAGTTTAGAATCTACATATGGCTTATGGTACTGAATGATAGACATACAGCCCTCTATCATGGATGCTCAGACATTAACTAGCAAGAATTATTATAGCATTTAAACTCTAAAAATGTTTTGTATTTCCCTCTAAGTAAATACTTGCCATTTAATGATCATTTTACTTTCACTGAAGCTTAGAGTTTAAATCTTAACCAGATTCCCATTATGTGACATGAAAATATACTCAAGATACTCTTAACTACTAGTTATCATGATCAAAAAGGAACTGTACAGAGTACAACCTTCTAACCTTCACCAGCTTGAAGGCTAAAACTAGCTCAGGCTTTTATCATCCAATTCCCCAAGTATTCTGTAAGAGAAATTTAAAAATCTTCCTTATGCAATCCTAGAATCATATCCAAAATAAAAAGTAAGAGAAAGACACGTTCGGTTAAATCATGGGCTACTATACCTAAGCTAATTTAACTACTCAGGCAAAGAGTATGGCATGGATTCAAACATTAATTTTTTATAAACTCACTTGTTGATGGTTCTTCCAAAAGTGACCTGAACGAGAGCAATTAAAGTTCTTCTCACCCATTTAAACACTAAAATATGAATCAGAGGAAAACTGTTATCAGGGGATATCAAAATTATGACATTTTCATAGCTGTATGATGCATAAAACCTCACCAATTAATTCATTCTGCATCCTGACATCAACCAAAGGCTATGATTTCTGCAGAATTTAGGTTTAGGTAGATGAATTTCTGCTCAAGAAAACTCCTCTGATTAAGATTTCATTTTTTTCCAAGCTGAAACCTAACAGCGTTTTTTGTTTTGTTTTGATTTTTCAGCTTTTAATGCCTACAGAACAGCTAAGCTAGCAAGTGGAAATAATACTTTACTTCCTGTGTCCCAGGCTACTGACACCATGCCTGTTTCCTATCAGCAGACAGTGTAATTCCTATTTTAGACTTCTGTCTGGCTTGCTAAACCCAATTTTCTAGCACACAGTTCATAATGAAAAACATCTGTAGTCAAATGTTGACAAATATTAATAAAGTAGCAGGTCTAACTGTTCTCACTTGAATAGCAGTCTGCACAACGTCATGTACTTTTATATTTTATGCATTTGCAGCTAGAAAGGAGAACTTCAAACAGCCAGAACTGTGAATGGAATAATTCCACAAACTGCTGCACCACCTCCTAGAGCAGCTGGGCACACAATATCTTGTCAGGACCTTGGTTTCTTCACCTGGAAAAGGATGGGATTAACATAGGCTTTTTTGTCCCCCGCCAAGGGTCTTCTGTGTGTGAAGGGTTTTACAGACCTCAACTTTTCTTATCAGCATGAAGATACATTTTTATAGGAATAGAGTATGAACATAAACCAGAGGCAAAAAAAAGCTATGACAATATTTTATGTCCACAAGTTGGAATATAAACCAGATATTTCATTTATAGTTTTACTTCCAGTCCCTGAGATGTTTGGTCACTGACACAGGAGGAAATGTGAAATTCAGACTTGGCTCTAACAGAGTCAAGAGTTGAAGCCTCCTGTACCCAGCAAGAAAACCTAAAAAGAAGCAAATTCACAAAGATCTTTTCACTAGAGCAGTCACCCACCCAAGTAAAAATCAACAACCAACATAAACCTGTACTAGACTAACACATTCCAAAGTCATCTGTAATTTTTTGAATGGATTTAAAATTTCAGTTTAAGTAGTATTAACCCTCCAAGTAAAAGTCAAGCTGTGGCGTCAGAACCATGCCCCAAAAATGCCTTGAACTTTTGGATGGAGTTTGCTGGAATACAGCCAAGTATATAGACTTTATTTTAGGCTGGCATTTAGGCTGGGATGAGCATGACTGTCCATAATGACAACTTCACGTTGCCTTTCTAGGGCAGGAGAGAGGTAGCTCATACCCACAAGGCCTGAGGACAAATACAACTCTAGGAAGAATGCCTAATAGTGAGTGGTTATAAAAAAGGCTGTATTACTGGGTCTTTTTCATATGGAGACCTAGAGCAGGAGCCAAAACTGATTTTGCTACAAATTATTTCACCTCAATGCTATCCCATTACTCTACTACATTTCTATCCTTCCCCAGTACCCCCTGCCCAAAATAGCCCCATGACTCCTTTCAAAGTCTCATTTGTTCAAAACCACAGAGGCAGCTGCAATAGCACAAGGATTTTGCTGATGGCAAATATATCACATCTCATTATAAAGGATGTTCTATTTATTCCCTTCTGAAATGTCAGTAGCAAAACCAAACATGTTTCTGAGCAGGCATTTGATGGAGGACATGCAGATTGAAAAGACAGCATTTTGAGCTCTGCTACACCTGTTCCTGGCTCTGACATATCTACCAGGTCTTTTAATCTCTTTGTATGTACAGAAAAGAGCATGTTTGCAAAGGCTAGAACACAACAATCTCATTCTTATCATCCTATGGAAAACTGGGAGGATTTCATGGCCAGATTTTACTGAGGAAGGAAGGGTCAGACTTTGGGGCAGAATACTATTTTTTTTCTGACTATGCTAAATCAAGTTAAACATCAGTGTTTATTTTAAAAACATATAAATCATGGAAAGGTTACAGATTTTTCACCTGAAGGAATTTTTAATATGTGTGATATTCTATCATATGGATAGTTCTTAAATACTTTAACTATCACCCACTTCTAAAGTTTATCTTTAGTTTTAACTTTCATTATCAAAATTATCCTAAAATAAACTTCCTTATATGTAAATCTGTCTTGAGTATAGAATTTAATTCCTCCTATAGCTTAATTTGAATTACATTTTTGGACTCCTTTATTTCCTAACAGACCTATTATCTTACAACATAGGTATCCAAAGTGATACTTATAGAAATGGCACATTTCTTAAGTTGTGACCTAGGGGAAGGACAAGCTCCATGATGGAGGATAATTAGTTCTGGCACTTAAGTTTTCTTTCTTATTTTACTCAGGGCATTTTACTGATCACCTGCTCAGGATCAGGTGCACTCGAGTAGATGCTGATGATGAAGACTCACAAGACATGTTTAAGTTCAGAACAGCACTTTTCATGTGTTAGTAATTTTCCCTGCTAATAAATTAAGTGATATATTAAGGGGCACATAAATGAGAAAGGATGATAGCCCCATTTCCTGTGTAGGAACAACTCTGGCTACCACCTTTTCCCCAAGAGAAAAAAAGAGTGCTGCTGTGAGTAGAGAGTTGAGGGCATTCATGGGGAAACATTTTACCACTTGGTGGCATTGATGTGCCTCACTAACCCTTTGCTTCATCTTCCAGGTGGTTAGGTAGCCAATACTGAGGCTCCAGCTATGACAAGGAGACAAGTGTCATGATTTTGAATGCTGAGGAGCTGTGAAGGGGTGAGAAGAGAATACTAAGTCCTATTCAGGACGCAAGACTAAGCCATTTAGTTCAGTTTACCTTTCACCAAAATACTGTTCTGGGGAATAGGTAATTGTACAGTTCTTAAGAAAATGGTATTTGACCCCCCCTTTGCTATTAACTCTTCTAAGCACATCTCCCTCAGTAATCACTAGAGCAGGATTTCTCAACCTCAGAAGCGTCACTGTGGACAGGCCAACTCTCTTGTGGGGGTTGTCTTGGACAGTGTAGGACGTTAACCCATGTCCTTAGCCTCTCCTCACCAGATGCCAGCAGTACTTTCCAACCCTAAGCTGTAATGACCAAAAGTGCTCCAGGTATCACCAAATATTACCCTCCTCCCTTTACTGAGAACTACTGCTGTAGGGGAAGAAAGGAGGTTGAAAATTGGGCTGGAGCTTTTCCACATTCCTAGCTGTAATACTATCCTACCACAAAACTGCACCTTTAACAATGGGTTCTTCCTTTGCTATGCAAGATAATATTCTGCATAACTTTTGGTGCAAAGTAATGAAGCTGTGCTGATTCACATAAAAAGAAATTCACAGCATTTTCTTTTTGTGTCAGAGGAACACAGTGCAGAGTAAATCAGGACCCTCAGCTTCCTAAGAACAGAGATGTTGTCTGTCTTCAGCACCTAGCATGGAGCACAGAGCATAATACTTTCAGTATTTGGTTGGCCCATCAAAGTATTTGTTAAATGAATAAATGCATGAATATAAATACATGCTTGATGTTTTTCAAGAATAAGGCAACATTAAATGAATCTTGCTTAACCAGCCAATACTATTAAATAATAGCAAAGAGGCTTACTTCCTCGAAGTTCAAAAATCTCCCCAATTAACATGAAACATGGTTCAGCCAAGGCGTCTTTCTTCCCATCCACATCATCACCATAATCTGACAGGTCACTGTCTTCCTCTATCTCCTCCTAGGGGTATAGCAAGTCACAGGAAGCAGGTCACTTATCCAAGAAAATTGTAGTTGTTTTCTTTCTTCAAGTGTAAATTCCAAACTATTTACTCCTTGTTAGCCTTACCTTATCTCTCAACTTTTAGGCAGCCATCTATCTACTTTCCTCAGGAAAAGATTGCTTCTAAAGCTTTAATTTAAAAAATATCCCCTATTAATGTACTAAAATCAGCAATTCAGTAGACAGTAAGATAGTTTTCTAAAAAGTATAGGTTGAATTTTGAAAGTGAGGCTTTTAACTTAAATGATTTTGAATTCACTGCTTTAAAAAATATGTGCATTTTAAAATAATTTGAGTTATTTTTAAAAGATCTGCTTCAAGTTTTCCCTTTGTGCTTCTGTTTGACTCATTTCCTGATTTGCATGTCAGCAAGCTTTAGTTCAAAACTTTTCAGATGCCAGGTACCAGACTAGTGCACGTGAGTGCAATGGGGATCCAGACATTTAGTGGTCAACAGCAATCTGGGGAGATACACACACACACACACACACACACACACACACACACACACGAACGTGGCTGTTTTTACAAGGCTAAAGTGCTGTCAAGGAGGTCCAAACATTGGGCAGTGGAACGACAGTGGACGATGTCCATTCTAATGTCTGCAGAGAGGTAAAAGTTGAAGTCATGGCATTAAGCGATAGTTAATGGCAGAACTCTGGATGACATCAGGTGAGCAAAGGAGAGGACTGAGGGTTCCTGGAAGTAGCTTCACAGAAGTCCAGCATCATCAAATGCTTCAGAGGTAGAGGAAGGTAAGCACTGAGAAGAAGCCACTGACACCTTCAGAGAGTAACTTCACAGAGTGACTGAGCCATATGCACATTCCAAAGTGTTCATGCACAGAAGAAGGTAATGGAGGTAAGCTAGCCAAGTCTACACAGCCATGGAGGAAGGTGGTGGGAGGGGAGCTTGGAGGGAAGGCGGCTTACACACAGGCTTCAATAGAGATGTGGGCCTGTTCTATTATGGAGCAGTTTTCTCCTCTTGGCTCAGAATGCAGTAAAACAGCCTCTTCTTTCCATGGTCAGCCCCTCTGTGCAGGCCAACCCTGGTGAAGAGGCAGTGCCATCTGGCAATAGACTAAGAAGAAGCCAAATTTGGGACATGGTTTTATACAACTGCTAGAGAGCCAAACAAGGGGCCTCAGTGGCTTACACATGAGTTAAGACCCTGAGATTCAGCATAGGAGACTGAAAATGTCTGCAGTCTCTTTCTAGGCATTCCTCAACTCATATGTGCTGCTGCCAGGCTCATCTTGCTTTAAAAACTCCATGGTTCTCCATTTCCTAAGATGAAGTTTAAACTCCGTAGCTTTGCCTTATCTTCCATAAGAGCACCACAGAAGCCTGCCAGTCAAACACACCCTATTCTCTTGAATCTTCAACATTGATCCAACTTCTGAACAATGACAACCCTCACTCTATACCCATCTCCAGGGAAAGGCTCCTATAGCATTTCCCACTCACAATCCAGATATCCACCTTGCTGTTCATCTTTTTATTTCTGTGCCTTAATTCTTCCAAGTGACTTATAAGGGAGGACAACAGGTGCTCCAAAGTCTGACAGCAATAAAAACTGAAATTGGTTGTATCTGTTTTTTTCATTACTAGCGAGCTTTCAATGAGTATCCTAAATAGGCCTTCAAGAAAATATTTGTTTGAACATGCTAGAGAAGTGGTACAACCTTTGGACTACTTACCTCCTGGTGGGAGAAGAAGTCACGAGGAAGTTTTTCCAAAAATGAGGATAATGAAAAGGAGGTTTTTTTCCCCTGCACATCAATAACCTTGAGGTAGTCAGGAGAAGGGCTCAAAAAGGCATAAAGTGCTTCACTCTGACACAGTCTTTCATCTGAAAGTAAATTCTGTGGAAGAAAGAAGACTAATTACTCCTATTGGGGAAACTATTTGTGCTACTAGGCACCACTACAAGCAAGACAAGTAAGACAAAACTGTGTCACGGATTTACTTTCATCATTAATTCTGAACTTAAAAAAAACTACTTCCCTTTCTTCCTAAAATAAACTATGGGTGATCAATTCTCAGTGATCATAACAGCAAACAATCCTCTGTTCAGATAGCTGTGTTTAGATTTTGTACATTCACTGAGAAAAGAACTTTTGAGTTATTACATGGTGGCCCTGCCTACCAGGCAATAGTTTTTATTTCTCTGTGTCCCACACTTTCCAAACAGTTCTTGTTTACTTAACTGTTTCATTGGTCCTTAACCTGGAAATTTCCTAAAGTTCTGTACATATTCATCTGGTCTAGGAAAGAGGAGAGCAGAACATAAATCAAGTGCTATGGTAAGACAGTAAGATTAACAAGTATGTTTTGTGCCTAGTGTTATAAAGCATAGGCTTTAGGAGTGAATCAAACAATGGAAACTAATACCCACTGATATGTACCCCCTTGTTCAACAGGAAATGCAGCAGGTACCTCTGGTGGAGGTACAGCGAAGAGGAGACAGCTACGTGGTACTGATAATGATAAGTTTGGAACGGTTTGTAAAAACTAAATGCAAACAAGCAGGCTCTTAAAATGATAACAGTTCAACTCCAAATAACTAAGCTCACCTCTCATTCGAAACCTTTCACTTGCTTACCTGTAAAAACTTATTTAATTGATTCTTTGACTTCTCCAGAAATTTATGATCTACAGATTTGAAAGGCAGCTTGCTAAGAGAAGGCAGCTGGACTTTTTTTAAAGAAGGGACACACTGTGGAAAAAAAATGAAATGTTAGTGTCTTAAAATTATATTTTGATTTTTAAAAAGGTTTAGAATTATAATTAAAACAATCCAAATATCTTCCTCCTGTACTTATTCCTCTCATATTTAAGACCTTGAAAATCTATCTTTTTTTTTTTTTTTGAGACAGGGTCTTACTATGTAGGCCAGGCTGGCCTTGGATTCATGATTCTCCTTAATCCTCCTGCCTCAGCCACCTGAGTGCTGGGATTACAGGTGTTCTTCACCACCACAGCCAGCTAAAATTCATCCATTTTAATCAGGCTCAAAGAACCTGGAGGAATAGGATATTTGATAAAAAAAGTTAAAGCTCATCCTCTGACCTACAAATACCTAGAAGCTTGTAAGTCAAGAAGCCAGACTGACAAAGTGGATTTGTATTAACATGCACAAAAGCACAACATGCTAGATATGCAAGCATGAGTTACAGAAAGAAAACTTGGGTGATAGCTTTACTACTACCTTTCAGTGGTAAACTGTAGAATGTAATTACATTAATAATAAAATATACTAAGAAATAATAACAATATGTTTCCCTTTGTAGATGAAGTCCTACTTTCTATCAGACACCGTGCTAGAAATGTGGCTTATGTTATTTCATCCTTACAATAGCTCTATCAAATTTTAGAGAAAAGAAACAGGCAGTGAAATGTGGAAGGGAAGATCAAAACCACTAGGGTCCAAAAAGGTGCTTCCTACCACAGTTGTCAACAGGAAAGGTTCTCACAGCAGGAACACTCACATGACAGGAAATAGCAAGGGTAAGAGAAGAGCTGGCCATTAGGTCATAGGTCAGGAAAGACAACAATAAGGCAAAAGATAGACACAGAATTTTGTAAGGGTTGCTTCTTCTAATGCTTCAGTGTAATTATTGTTTCTTATATTCTAAGTACATCTTATTTTCCAAGTACATTTTATTTCAGAATCATCCCCAAATTCCTTTTCTTCTTTCCATTTTTATTAGCAAACTAGACTGAACTAAATTTGGTTTTACGATGCTTTGCCATGCAGCAAACAATACATTTTTCCGTAGTGTCAACTTTACTCAACAGCTTTGGGAAGAAATTTATTCTTACATTGAAATACTTTGTTTTCCACACCACTGGAGTGACCTTAGGGTGAGAAACACTAGTATGTATGACATTGACTTTTGGCCACCATTCTTTTAAAAGCAGTTGAGGAAGTTATAGTGTTCAGAAGTTAGTAATTAAAAATGTTTTAAAAAATCTCCATAGGAGATAAGGTTAAAGGAAATGGACATATTTCATTTGGAAAAGAGGAATCTGAGAGTCTAGTTTATTTTGAACAAGAGAATAATGGAGCTAAATCCATTGGAGAGCTTTTCATTGCTGGAGCAGAGGGCAATACCTTCAGTAAAAGGAGAGTTAGGTAAGATGCAATTCCTCAGGCACAGTGGGAAGAATAAAAAACTGGGAGTAAGACAACTTAGATTCTAATCCTGATTTGGCCACTGTGCACAGATGCTATAATTCTGTTAAGCTCTGGGATAAGTTTTCCTTATCAAATAAAAGAATTAACCTAGATTGGTAGCTTTCCAAACATTTTTGACTAAAACCTTTATCAGGAAATGCATGCTATATTGCAACCTATAATGTACATATAGATGCACATCTGTATCATGTATGTGTGTGTGTATAAAACAACAAAGAAACAATGCTTATTACTACTGCTAGTACTAACAAAAACCACAATAATGCTTTCTATGTGCCATACATTCTTCTAAATGCTTTGTATATATTTGTTCCCTTAATCCTCACAACAACCCTGTGAGGTAGGTAAGTAGGAACTATAAATATTTGTATTTTGTTGATGAGGAAAAAGGAGTACAAAAAACCTGTGTAACAAATCCAGGTCACACAGTAAGTAAATAGCACAGCTGGGATTCTAAGGCCTCTCACACTGGATTATGCATTCAAACACTCTGCTCTGCTGCCCCTGTAGCATATGCAAAGAAATCCAGAACATTCTGTTCTCTTCCTATTCCTGCAGCTTCATAATTAAATGGTCACAACAGGCAGCTTTAAAACCACTGGCTCTAGATGATCCCTGGTCTCTTTTCATCTTGGGGATCTGCAGCAATTTATAATGAAAATCAGATAACTGTTTGTCCTGAAGGATTCAGGCTAGACTAGATGGTTTGATCTATGAGTAATTTCCAAATGTCAGGCTGAAAATGCCACCATGCCAGTATCAACAGTAAAGGAAAAGATGAACCCATTTCCTTATGTATAAAAAACCTGTGGGATCTGGAATTTCATGGTGTTCAGTATTTTTAGGATCTTGTATTTCATGTATTCATACCTCACTAAGTTTCCGGTGTAAATTCTGAAACTCACTGAGCCTTCTTGGGACAGTCCAGTTCTTAGTTTCAACTCCTCCAACTTCTTGTAGGCTCACTGTGACAAAGTAACAAGGCATTTGCTCACCATTTTCTTCTGTAACCTTGGAAAGAAAATCAAAATCAACAACAAAAAACATGGTGAGTGGATACAGTAGGAAGATATTAAAAAGTCCCCTGAGATTTTCCTCTCCTTAGGATACTTTAAGTAGTGCCCTATATAACCTCTGGAACTGTGAATATGATGAATTTTATTCTGCCAATTAGGTCATGTAATATATAGCACGGAAGACTTTAAAATAGGATTATTTGTATGGGTCTAACCTTTGAAAGCAGAGACCTTGTTCCAGTCAAAAAGACCAGAAGCCCAAGAAGGAAGCCAGCAAGGCTTCCTAAGATCTACAGACACAAGGAACTGCATTCTGTCAATAACCTGACTGAACTTGAAAGTGTTGTTTTCCCAGTCTCCAGACAAGAACTTAACCTAGCCCACATTGGGTTTCAGCACTGTGTTGCAGTCATACTGTGCTAGATTTCTGACCTATGGAAGTGTGAGCTGATAAATGGATGCTGTTTTAAACTGTGAAGTTTGTTACACAGCAAAAGAAAACTAACATAGCAGGCTTAATCTCCTGGCTGAAGGACACCTAAATTTAATCTCAAGATTCAAAAAAATCCCATGGTTTCTTTTTTTTTGAAACAGGGGCTTGCTGTGTAGCCCAGGCTGCCCTTGAACTTGTGATCCTCCACCTTCAGTCTCACAAGTGCTGAGATTGCAGGCATTAGCCACCATGCCCAAACCACCAAGATTTCTATTCTCATGAAACAGAAACACACTAACACACACACATTATTCTTAGCCTAAACAGATAAGAAAAATAGCAAAAAATACACTGAAATTGAGCCTAAATTAGTATCATAAATTGAATTAGAGAGAAGTCAATAAGAAAGGCAAATTAAAGAGATATGCTCTGTGAGGGAAGACTACTATCCCACTGTGAAGCTGGGAAAGCAGAGGCACAAGCAGGGTAACAGACTCTCCTAGTACTGCACATCTAGTAAGAGTCATCCAGGACCAGAAGCCAGGAGAGTCTGGTTCAACATAAATGCATCTTCCATACAATGCTGTGCCAGACTGCTTTGTGAGTGCCAGCAATCAGGGGACCCCTTTCTTTCCATTTCCTCTATGTTTTCCATTGACCAAGTAACCACAGCAAACTCCTGAGTAAAAACTAATTGTCAGGGCAGAGTACCTGTGAAGGTTTCCACCCCTTCCCTTCCTCACCTGCCTTTTTTGTTGGGAAACAACAGGTGTATTGAATAAGCTGCATGTTTGAGTTTGGCACAGCCCCAAACCACAGAAGGGACCAAGTATAGTTATGCCCAGTAATTGCCTGCTTGATTGGCACAGCCATTTTTCCTAAGATGTTTATGTTCAGAGAGAAGCTGTCACAGGTCCCTCCTGTTCCCAAGGATTACAATGTCATGCCCCCTCCCCCAAGAACTGCCTCTCCACTTTGTTTTGTCACTGTATATAATAAACTCGCTGGAGGTGGAGGGGGCTGGTGTGTCTCCATCCGAGTGCCCAGCCTACCTGGCCCCAGCTTTATGCATGTTTGGTCTTCTGTCTGTTGTCCTTTCTGCATCTCCCATTGCCCTCAGTTAGGTTTCTAGGACAAGGTCGTGCAGTACACGAGACCTTTTGAAGATGATTTTAATGTGCTGTGAACTATCAGAGGCAGCTCTAAGTAAAACTGAGAGCCTCCTTTCACAGGCCTTCTTTACTACATACATACAGCTGAACCTATCACATTCCTGAACTTCTACCCAAATGCAATTCTATCTACTGTATTTTCTCTGATATTCCAAGGTCCACAGCTCCCCACCTTCCCTAGAAAAAGGTATACTGTCTTTCAGCGTAGCTTTATGGGAAGTGTCAATAAGGCCAAAGGACACTAGGTTAAGCTCTCATGAACTGTGTCCTTTCAGGGGAGAACATGCTCTGTCTTGCTATCTATTAAGAGGTGAAATTAAGATTGTGAATTTTAAGCCCTCTTTCCAGTAGGAATGCCAAGTCACTGTGAAAATGGCAGAAATGAACAAAAAATAAGCCATGTGAAATAATGATGAAGCAAATCATCAACATTATCATGCTCGGGATCTTGATATTTGTTATAAAATGGCAGACGTGACTTTACCTCTAGCTTTCCACCTGGCTTAATAGTAGGTACAAAGGAAGACACTATTATCAATAACAATTTATAGTAAACACTTACTAGCATCTTTCCTAAAAGAAATTATTTTATAGACAAATAAGAATAAAGCATATCCTGCAAAATGTTATCCCACATCCTCAAAGAATAGCCAAATAATTAAAGGGAAAATATTTATTATTAAAGATCTTAGAGCTTCTGAGATTTTAAGCAATTGAAGTCAATAGGATAGAAAAATCAGATGTATAGGAATTTTTATTTTATGTATAGAAAATTTTAATTTTTCATCTCTAAGTTGCCACTTTACTTCAATCAACAATGATAAAAAAAAATTAGTATTTCAAGGACATTAGATGTTTCTATACCTATGTTGCTTGTAATTCCAATGAACAAGGACAACTTTCTCTCCAAGGTAGAATGATATCAGATCCAAGCCAAGCAGCCTAGGACAGTTCCTAGTCATGGGAACAGAGCAAAAATATGGGGGAAGGAAGATAGTGGACAAATGCGGTCTAAAAGAATGAGTGTAGACCTTCTAACCTCAGTCTTAATTCTCCAGGACAAAAACTTTATCTTATAAAATCAAACTTACGAAATTAATCAGGGAAAAGTGGGAAGCCTACCTCTCCACTGGTGATGGAGGCTTTCCACATGCCGAGGTTCTCGCACCACCAATCTGTTCTTGCCATGTGTAGCTGAAGGTCTGTGCGTTCTTTCTCTATTAGAAGTATTTCATCCTTCAACTTGGAAACAATCTACCACAAAGGAAATATCATGGTAGTTATGAAAACATTCACAAATCTATGCAACTCAGCATATAAAATCAACACATGAACCAGTGTTTCTATACACTAACAATGAGCAATCCCAAAAGGAAATTATGAAAACAGTTCTACTTAATAGCATCAAAAAGAATAAAATACATAGGAATTAACCAAGGAACTGAAAGATCTCTATAAAGAAAACTATAAAACACTGAAAAAGAAATTAAAGATGTCAAATATTTGTAAACACATCCCAAGTTCATGAACTAGAAGACTTAATATTGTTAAGATATCAATACTAACCAAAGCAATCTACAGATTCAATGCAATCACTATCATAATTTCAATAACACATTTTGTAGGATCAGAAAAATCCAGCATAAAATTCATATGGAATCTCAAGGGACCCCAAATATCCAAAAGAATTCTGAAAAAAGAACAAAATCAGAACATAATACAAAGAACTCCTAAAACTCAACAACAAAAATGAGCAAAGGACTTGAACAGACATTTCTTCAAAGACATACAAATGACTAATAAACACATGAAAACATGCTAGACATCTCTAATTAGTAGGGAAATACAAATCAAAACTACAATTAGTTATCTCTTTATATCTATTAAGATAAGGAAAGGAGAGAGGAAAAGAAGGAGATAGGGAGAGGATGGAGAGAGGGAATGAAAAATAAGAAGTGTTGGCAAGGACAAGGAAAGATGAGAACCCTTGTACATTATAAAATAGGTCAAATACTGTGGAAAATAGTGTGTTGGCTCCTCAAAAAATTAAAAACAGGTTGCCATGTGATTCAACAATTACAAAATAATTGGAAACAGGATTGCATTTGTATATCCATATTTATAGCAGCATTATTCACAATAGCCAAAAGGTGGAAGTAAAGCAAGTGTCTCTATTAATGGAGAATAGTCAAGCAAAACAAAATGTGGTATATACATGCAGTGGAATATTATTAAGCATTAAAAATTAACGAATTTCTGAAACATACTATAATAAGAACACTGAAGACATTATGTAAAGCAAAATAAGCCAGTCATGAAGGCATACTGTGATTCCTCTCAGTGTGAGGTACTTAGCATAGTTGAATTCATGGCGACAGAAAGCAGAATTGTGGTTGCCAGGGGCTGCAGGATGGAGAAATGGGGTTCTTGTTTAATGGATAATAGTTTTAGTTATCACTCTAACGTTTTATGACAACTTTGCCCCAAACGTTCTTGAACATGTCGTCTACCAGGTTTCTTTTCTTCCTCAGAAAGCCTACAGGAAACATTCCTTGTCTATGCCATTATTCTGCATTTTATCATCTGTAAGGGTGTGACTGCTATTTTCGCACGTTTTAACTCCATAGCCAGCATTCTGCCCTGTGAAGGCAGGTGTTAGGCTGTGTGCCACTGACTCTTCACAGTGACAAGCACAGCATTGTGCCTTCACTCACTCCTGAAGATTCCTTCTGATTAATGATTTATTCCTATTATTAATAACCTAGAATTGGACAGTTTATCTCTCTAAAGAAATAAAATAAAATAAAACCCAGGCAGATTTTAGGAAATCAAGCTACAAGGCTAACTTTACTTCCAGTAGCAATGACCTTCTTGATACAGAGATCTGAGAGAAGAGTGGTTAAGTAAACTCCTGGCCTGCTACATTCAGGGAAGATGCACCACTATTACATGAATGGGAAAATGTTCTGGTTCATAATTTCATATTTAATCCAGAAAAACTGTTCTAGTAAAAACTGCATTACTAGATCACCAAAACTTTTTTCAATATCAATCTTATTAAGTTTAAAAACCTTGATTATTAGATGTATTTCATGTTTACCAACATGAAAGAGCACGATGTCTTCTACTAGAGTCCTCTAAGCACTGTAGTATTCCCTGAACAGCCTGTGGGAAATTTGTTTAACAGGAAATGTGGACTGCCTTAGTGTTCAAATTAAGCCAAGATATCAGTTACTCCAAGTCTCCTGAGAATTCTTTCACATAATTACACTCAGAATGTTTATTCCATGATTATCAGAAATTCTTTTAAGAAAGGCTGAAGGATGTATATCAACCAAATGAAGAACCAAATAGAAAACAATTCAATGAACATTCTGTAGCTCATCTTTCATACTGTTCTCCATAAATACATTTTAATTTATAATGAGATGAATCCAGAATAAGTAAGAAAACTGTTCTTGAGAAACAGGCCATATTGTAGAAACTGATTATCTACTGTGCCAGCTAATTCTGTTTATCATCTCAAAGATGTTGTCACCAGGAAGACTGCAGGGCTATCCAAGTTCTATATGTATTAATTGGGAATGATGCCATGCACAGGGTAAAATAAACCCAAAAAACCTGGTTATTTCCCTTTCAAAGTTCCATTATAGACTATTAAAGTGATTTTCACATCAAACTTCCTTTTCCCTCATACTTTTGTAGAAAGACTATTATTAACAAAGATTATGCACCTTTATAAGATTTTTTACTTTTTCTTTTTTAAAGAAAACCCAATGGTTAGTGGGTGGGGTGTGTGTGACTCAACTGGTAAAGTATTTATCTAGCATGTGCAAGGCCCTAGGTTCTACCCCTCATTACCACCAAAAGAAAAAGGAAAAAAGAAAAAAAGAACAGAAGCAAACTCAATGGTTTAACTGGATAGTAACTGGATTATAGATGAATAAATATATTGAATAAAAGTTGTCAATAAGCTCATAACACATTGGTTTCCTTACATTTTATTTCAGGAATATTTTCCTATTACAAAAGCATTATTTGGGAGGTGGCTCAAATAATGTATACACATTAATGTGTATATGTAAAAATGACAAAAATTAAAAAAAAAAGAAACACAAAAAGTGTATCAATTGACCCCCAAAAAAGTACTAAAGAAGAAAACTTTCATTTAAAGCTGCTGGCTTGAAATCCTCAAACACATATTTAGGAAGTGCCAGAGGAAACCAAGTGGCAGAGCAATGAGCTTCATCTATACCTGTGTTAGAGAAGATTCACTGTTGAACTCCAGAGGCATAAAGACAAAGCAAAAAGCCACATCACAGCTTGTTCTGAAAAATGCCAATTGGCTAGATGCTGTCTACATTTTAAAAGCTTTCAAATTCGGTTGGCTTTTAGCAAAACTATTTTTTGCATCAATTCTGTGAGGTTCTCTAATTTGTTTTTATGGCAATTAATAGAAAAAAAAATTCTGAAAGAGAAAGCTTAGTTTCCTTTCCCAAACTTACTATAGGCAAGCCAGTTGCAAAGCACACAGTTACTCAGAGCTGATAAGCGAGAAAGAACTACAAGTCATAAAAGAATTTTTAAAAATGATTTTCTAATTCTATCCCTGAAGCCAAAAAAAAGGAACTTGCTCACAGTTAAAATTCTTTTAAAGAAGATGACACTTCTCAACTTAAAAGTATTATTTACCAAAGATAAATGGAAACTTTTAGCAACAACCTTGAAAACAAAAAGAGTTACCTTCTTGTCAGGTTTTGGTGCATTTTGAATAGAACTCAGAGCTTGCCTTTTATATTCAAGTTTCTCATTGAGCTCTCGGAGTTTGTTTACAGCAAAGCTGGTCTGTTCACTAATTGCGCTGGTGCCTTCTTCCACAGCTTCCTCACCAGCCTCACCTCCTGGGCTCTGGGGAAAAGTTGCATACCACCAAATCTTATGATGATAGAAAATTCAGGAATTATTATCTATTTTATAGATCCTTTATCAGTACAAAGTAGAATATTGAGAGTTCTTTTTTCTAGCAAAGAGAAAAATCAAAGTATATGGAACCAAAGTATCTGGCATTCAGAATTGTAGTGAAAATGGAAATATTTAATAAACTAAAGAAAGTGGAGGAGGGGCTGGTGGAGTGTTTAAGCAGTGAGAGTGCCTGTCTTGCAAGCATGAGGCCCTAAATTCAAACCTAGTGCTGCCAAAAAAAAAAGAAAACAAAATGAAAAAAGAAAGTAGGGAGGGATTTCATGCCATTATTATTATCATTTTTGGTAGTACTGGGGCTTTAACTCAGGGTCTACACCTTGAGTCACTCCACCACCCCTTTTTTGTGATGGGTTTCTTTAAGAGGGTCTTGCAAACTATTTGCCTGAGCTGGTTTCGAACTTTGAGCCTCCTGATCTCTGCCTCCTAAGTAGCTAGGATTACAGACATGAGCCACCGGCCAGGCTCTATGCCATTATTTCCCAAATGGTACATCCAAAGGAATCTGCACAGAGCAAGGAAGGCAACTGAATTATCATTACAATTCAAACTTTACCTACTTGCTTTTTTTCCAGTCTCCTAACAGTATTATGCAAAACCAATGCAAGTCTCTTTATAAAATCATTTCCAAATTCCCACAAGTAAATACTTCCAGCATGTACTTTGTTCAGTTCTTCTCTTAAGATGTATTTTATAAATCAAAACACAGATTATTTTCTAAGTAAAATAGTAGCATTTGAAAGTGAAGATTCACAAAGACCTGTAGAACTTGGGAAAATCAGGCTAGATTACCAAGCAGCATGTTAAGTTGTTTCAGTGGCAGCCAACAGCATTCATTGCACTGAAGGGGACTGCCAGGGATATCTTCACCCCTTAACTTTCTTCTGGATTGTTAACCAGTAAATTCAGAATTATAGTTTTTACAGATGTAGTGTATTTTATTGCACTGATAATATTCCTATTGCTGCACCTGCTATGGGTTGGTTCTACTTTCTTGTTTAAATGAACTAAATCAGATTCCATTATGCATAAACTTCCTTTCTACATTTTAATTATTTTCTTAGGATACAATTCTACAAATTCCTATTTCTAAGGATTATTGGAATAAAGAGTATCGAAAACTTTTAAAAGGTGAGTAGTACATATTGGTTTTCTGTGAGTCCTAGAAAGAGGGATATTTTTCACTGATCTACTATTATCTCCCATGTCAACTGTTAGTTCAAGTCCTTATTCTATTTATTTGATACTGAAGTTTTTATTCATTTGAATAAATTATTTATACTTGCTATAATAGTAACCATTTTAATTCTTGAAGTAGAAAGAAACATAGCTAAAACAAACTGTGATCTTAAAAATAAACTTCAGTGAGTAGTGAGTTTGAATACATCAGTTCAGTGATTTTTATCCATAAAGAACCAAGTAACAAAACTTCTGAAAAAAAGTTGTTTAATGTTGTTAAACAATTTAACAACAGTTCAGAGACCTCAAGCTGCTTTCTAACACCATCAAAGCAAGAACTTAATTCTTCAGGGCTGGAGTGAGCAAAACTGGACAGAAAGAAAAAAAAAATTCAAGATAAATATAATATTTCTATGTATCAGTCTTTTTTGGTGGGGGACAGGGGGAACTCAGGGCTTCGTGCTTGCAAAGCAGGCACTCTACCATTTGAGCCACACCTCATATATCCCATTTGGTTGTTTTGGAGATGGGGTCTTGAGACTGATTTGCCCAGGCTGGCCTTGAATCAAGATCCTCCTGATCTCAGCTTTACAATAACTAGGAATTACAAGCATGAGCGACCAGTGCCCTGCTTCTATCAGTCTTTAAAGCTCATGTAAGTCACTAAAGTAAATGAGAGCTGTAAACCTAGAGCTATCCAAAATAATCGAGTACACTACAAGAAAAATTAGACTTGAGGTAAAGCTTAATAAGGTATCTTTCAGAGCATTTTATTCCTGTCTGTGAGTTTTTTTTTCTTAACTCCAAAATTTTCCCTCTAACTCCTCCATATTCCTTTTCTTTCTCCATTTTCCCCTATCCCTTCCCTCTCTATTCAAAGGCTGAACAATATCCCGAATGATTCTCTATGCTGGTATAAACTACAAATGGCACACTCTACAGATTTTCTGCTCTCACTTAGGAGTCAAACTGAGGGTATGCCTAAGACAGTCAAAGATCTCTGATTCAATGTTAGCAGCAAATAGGTCAGCAGGTCAAAAGGGGAGAAAGAAGTAAATTAGACCCAAAGCAACCAGTAATTTAAGTTTACTATTATTCTATTTAAAGTCCTCTTTATTAAAAGATTATGGTACACATCAAATTTGGCTCATACAATATGTTCTCCCTAATTGTAATCAAAGTTTATCCACTGAAAAGGGAAGAGAAAAATAAATGTGACTCACCATTTCATCTTTGTTGGAAATAAATTGTGAGCCATGTTTTTCCTCCTCTTTACCATCAATTTTTTCGTACAGATCACTGACAATAAATGAGGGGTAGTATCTATCCTTTAGGATCTCATATACATCTCCCTGGATTTTTGCAGAACACCTCAATTCCTTTATTTCCTACAAGACATTGCTGGATTTCTTTGTAAAGTGATTTTTCCACAGATATTTCTTTGTTTTCCACAAAGTAATTCTGATAAAATTTCACCAACTAATTGTGGAATTTCATTCTGCAAAAGACAGAAAGATGAAAAAGAACAGCAAGGAATATCATCTCTGAGAGAAAATTTTCCACTAAATTCTCTGCATGTCAAAGCTGGAAGGAAGAGATTTGGGATGTACCCTAGTACTTGTACCACTGTGAAGCCTAGGCTTCTGTGTTCACATTCAAAGTTAAGGAGTAAACATCAGACTCTGAAAAAACCCAAGTTTCTTAAAATGAACACTTTTATGTTGATTAGTTAATATCTGCAGTTTCTTTTAAATACAAGAGAAAAAGTAAATGAGAACAGTGCTCTTCCTGCAATGGCTTCCTTTCCATAATCTCAATTCCATTTATCAACTAAAATCTATTTGACTTTTTGTCTAGTATAAATAAGTGGAAGTGCTCGCTCCACTAAGCTAAATTAAATGATTTCTCACTCCAGGAAGAAGTCGATATACTTATTGTGTATTTAAAAAGAAAGATATTCCTCAAAATAACTTCATAATATTTATCATCAAGCATACTGGACAGTTTAGTCTTCAGCAGTACACTTGTCATCACCAGTCTACTTCTCACTCATATGATCTTCACATTTCCTCTGCTGGCACTTCATCAACTCTAAGGAATGGCAAGCAAGATCTCAGCAGTAGCAAAAAACAAAAATCACTTAAGGAGTGATTAATTTAATCAGTGTTGCTGGATTAAAATATGGCTATTTTGAGGAAGCTATCTACTCTTACTTCATTGAAAATTTTCAAATTGTGTTCAGTAGTTTTGGAAAACTCCTTATTCTTAACAATATTCTTTTGAGAGCAGCCAAAAGTCACCTGGAATTAAACCTAGTGGTTAATATAACTAATGAACTTGGCAAATATAATATTGGGTAAAATGAGGTAACTTGTGGCTATTCATAATGAAAGAAGATTTGATGAGCTGGAGGTGTGGCTCAAAGCCCTGAGTTCAAACCTCAGTCCCAACAATCAAAGTAGAAGATTTAAAAATAGCTACAGGATGCATTTGATTCTTTACCAATGGAGTTTTTTTTTTTTTTTTTATTCATACGTGCATACAAGGCTTGGGTCATTTCTCCCCCCTGCCCCCACCCCCTCCGCCCCCTCCCTCTCCTCCCCACCTCTCAATACCCAGCAGAAACTATTTTGCCCTTATTTCTAATTTTGTTGTAGAGAGAGTATAAGCCATAATAGGAAGGAACAAGGGTTTTTGCTAGTTGAGATAAGGACAGCTATAGAGGGAGGTGACTCACATTAATTTCCTGTGCGTGTGTGTTGCCTTCTAGGTTAATTCTTTTTGATCTCACCTTTTCTCTAGTTCCTGGTCCCCTTTTCTTATTGGCCTCAGTTGCTTTTAAAGTATCTGCTTTAGTTTCTCTGCGTTAAGGGCAACAAATGCTAGCTAATTTTTTAGGTGTCTTACCTATCCTCACCCCTCCCTTGTATGCTCTCGCTTTTATCATGTGCTCAAAGTCCAATCCCATTGTTGTGTTTGCCCTTGATCTAATGTCCACATATGAGGGAGAACATATGATTTTTGGTCTTTTGGGCCAGGCTAACCTCACTCAGAATGATGTTCTCCAATTCCATCCATTTACCAGCGAATGATAACATTTCGTTCTTCTTCATGGCTGCATAAAATTCCATTGTGTATAGATACCACATTTTCTTAATCCATTCGTTGTGGGGCATCTTGGCTGTTTCCATAACTTGGCTATTGTGAATAGTGCCGCAATAAACATGGGTGTGCAGGTGCCTCTGGAGTAACCTGTGTCACAGTCTTTTGGGTATATCCCCAAGAGTGGTATTGCTGGATCAAATGGTAGATCAATGTCTAGCTTTTTAAGTAGCCTCCAAATTTTTTTCCAGAGTGGTTGTACTAGTTTACATTCCCACCAGCAGTGTAAGAGGGTTCCTTTTTCCCGCATCCTCGCCAACACCTGTTGTTGGTGGTGTTGCTAATGATGGCTATTCTAACAGGGGTGAGGTGGAATCTTAGTGTGGTTTTAATTTGCATTTCCTTTATTGCTAGAGATGGTGAGCATTTTTTCATGTGTTTTTTGGCCATTTGAATTTCTTCTTTTGAGAAAGTTCTGTTTAGTTCACTTGCCCATTTCTTTATTGGTTCATTAGTTTTGGGAGAATTTAGTTTTTTAAGTTCCCTATATATTCTGGTTATCAGTCCTTTGTCTGATGTGTAGCTGGCAAATATTTTCTCCCACTCTGTGGGTGTTCTCTTCAGTTTAGAGACCATTTCTTTTGATGAACAGAAGCTTTTTAGTTTTATGAGGTCCCATTTATCTATGCTATCTCTTAGTTGCTGTGCTGCTGGGGTTTCATTGAGAAAGTTCTTACCTATACCTACTAACTCCAGAGTATTTCCTACTCTTTCCTGTATCAACTTTAGAGTTTGGGTCTGATATTAAGATCCTTGATCCATTTTGAGTTAATTGGTATAGGGTGATATACATGGATCTAGTTTCAGTTTTTTGCAGACTGCTAACCAGTTTTCCCAGCAGTTTTTGTTGAAGAGGCTGCTATTTCTCCATCGTATATTTTTAGCTCCTTTGTCAAAGACAAGTTGGTTATAGTTGTGTGGCTTCATATCTGGGTCCTCTATTCTGTTCCACTGGTCTTCATGTCTGTTTTTGTGCCAGTACCATGCTGTTTTTATTGTTATTGCTTTGTAATATAGTTTGAAGTCAGGTATTGTGATACCTCCTGCATTGTTCTTTTGACTGAGTATTGCCTTGGCTATTCGTGGCCTCTTGTGTTTCCATATAAATTTCAAGTAGATTTTTCAATCTCTTTAATGAATGTCATTGGAATTTTGATGGGAATTGCATTAAACATGTAGATTACTTTTGGGAGTATAGACATTTTTACTATGTTGATTCTACCAATCCATGAGCATGGGAGATCTCTCCACTTTCTATAGTCTTCCTCAATCTCTTTCTTCAGAAGTGTTAGTTTTCCTTGTAGAGGTCTTCACATCTTTTGTTAGGTTTACACCTAGGTATTTGATTTTTTTGAGGCTATTGTAAATGGAATTGTTTTCATACATTCTTTTTCCGTTTGTTCATTGTTAGTGTATAGAAATGCTAATGATTTTTCTATGTTGATTTTATATCCTGCTACCTTGCTATAGCTATTGATGATGTCTAGAAGCTTCTGAGTAGAGTTTTTTGGGTCTTAAGGTATAGGATCATGTCGTCTGCAAATAGGGATATTTTGACAGTTTCTTTACCTATTTGTATTCCTTTTATTCCTTCTTCTTGCCTAATTGCTCTGGCTAGGAATTCCAGTACTATGTTGAATAGGAGGAGATAGTGGGCATCCTTGTCTGGTTCCTGATTTTTAGAGGGAATGGTTTTCAGTTTTCTCCATTAAGTATAATGCTGGCTGTAGGTTTGTCATATATAGCTTTTATAATGTTGAGGTACTTTCCTTCTATTCCTAGTTTTCTTAGAGCTTTTATCATGAAATGGTGTTGGATCTTATCAAAGGCTTTTTCTGCATCTATTGAGATGATCAAGTGGTTTTTGTCTTTGCCTTCTGTCTGTTAATGGGGTTTATTACATT